CCCCCCCCCCCCCCCCCCTATTGCTGTGTTGAGAGCTCGAAGCGGCGGCGGCGGGGGGATGCCCCGAGGCACCCTCCGCCGCCTTGGCGGCGTCATTCTCTTCTTCTTGCTGCTTGACGGCAGGAGAAGAGGCACAACCCTCCTCCTCCTCGCTCGCTCCTTCTCCTTGCTTGTTTGTGATGGAGTCAATGTAGTCAGGCAATAATTGCTGCGAGACAGAGACGCCTGGAGCAGCAGCAGCAGTAGCAGCGAGGCTCTTCTATCTATGCATTCATTGTAGCAATCGACTGTGCTAGGCAGCAAGCCTGGCCCTCAGAGCTCGTTGTGGGTTGTGGCCGTTTGTGCTCGTGCGAATGGGAATGGTGCAGCTGTTGGGTAATCCCTCCTGTGACGCTACGAAAGGTGATGTGGTCTACATGGAATCAAAGCGTACAAGAGGCCCCGCTCTGCAGCTGAGTATTTCTTGGTAATGTGGGCTCTTCATGCACCAGGTTGAGAGGGGGCAGCAGGGAAAAAAATCACGCCACACACAGATGTTAAGAAGTGGCGACGCTACCGTTGTATCCGCTCGCCGTGTGAACCTATTTGCCGTTGCGCGAAATCCCTTGGCAGAGGTAATCGTGGCACGAGGTCGTCGTTGTCCTTGTTGTCTGCCCCCGTCTCTCCCGGGCTCAGCGCCAAGCATGCACCCAGCTAGCAGCCACGCTGTAACATCTATTTAGAATGTTTCCCAATATTGACGTCAACGTTCTCGATGTGCGATCCAAATCCTGCCGCCTCACACATGCTCGATTTCCTCGGACATATATAATACCTTTCCGGGTTGGACTCGTCACACCTCCTGCTCTTACCGCCTGCTCACCTGATTGATTTCCCTTGCCCCTCGTCCGAGGCCGACACCTTTAGTCCCTCCTTGAATGGAAACCCCGGCGACACATTTGAAGTGAAAAAAAATGCCGTACAAGAGGCGGAGAGATGGTGCCCCCCTAGACCGATTTTCAAACATCGATTGCTCCACAACCAAGATTGTCTGTACCGTACCGTACCGTACCGTACCGTACCGTATACCGCCGTACCGTGGTATTGCCTAAGAGAGGGGGAGAGATGGTACCGTCAATAGACCGATGGCCAGAGATCGATTGCTCCACAACCAGGCGCTTGTGCCAACACCAAAATCGTGGATTCGGAAAAATATCTCGTTGAGGGCTTTCCCGTAGACGCATCGGGCTCCTGCGGAGCAATCGAGCTTTTGAATATTGTCTACCTGGGGTGCCATATCTCCGCCTCTTACAGCGACAGCTTCTTATTTTTTGGCGGTTTCAGGTGCGAGTCCTACGCTGGAGAACATGAAGGGGAGCACGGCTGTAATGCTCGCTAAAACTGACACAGCGTTGACGCTGCTGTGCCCCCTGCACTACTGCGCTGCGAGGGGCATGCTAGACAACCTTGTGGCAGAGGTAGCGAAGGTGAGGTTCCGCCGCGAACGAGGCCATGTTCGTGTCGTTATTGTCGGCGTCGAAGGCGCTAACGAATGGCAACACGTCAGTCTCAGCGCGGCTGAAAGCAGAAAATGCTTCCAGAGGCCATGGTCTGGGGACCACGTGAGGGGGCGTCATGGGGGAGGCTGGGCCACTCTCCGGATTAAAGACAGAATCGGTCTGGTATGGTGTGTGTGTGACAGCGGAGTGGATAGGTCGGAATCTTGGCTTTGCACCAATACCCGACACTCGCTTTTAGCAGTCTGTTGTCGCACCCGATAGACGTCGATGCTCTCACCGCACCGCGCATATTCGGAACACACACAAGTGTACGCCGTCTCATACACCCATATGTTATAAATTGTAGCAACGCACCCCCACCGCGATCGAAGCAAGCCGTAACACAGAACTCATTCGCATATTCTACAGATCCAACCAAAACGCTCCAAATGGTACGGGAGATCCGTGAACACCGTCGGAGGCGACCTCCCCCCCCTCCCCATACTGTGGAAGCCCCTGAATGAATCGCAGACCTGAACACGCCCTATTCCACACACACATGGCAGGGGAGGTCTGTCAACACCGTCGGCAGCGGCGGCGACACCCCCCTCCACGCCGCCGCTACAACCGGAAACACGGACTCGACCCGCCTGCTGCTGGATCGGGGAGCGGATCCGCTCCGAAGAAACGCCGGCGGGGAAACCCCGCTAGACGTCGCTCGACGGCACGGGCACGGCACTGGCGGCGGGCGGGTCGCGGGGGGCGTAGTCGGCGTGTTGGAAGGCGTTACCGCGGAGGCGGAGGCAGCGATAGCCAAGAGGAAGGCGGAAGAAGCGGCCGCCAGGTCGGCGAACGGGGGGTATAACGGTGAGATTTGAGAGAATGTATCTTTTCGGGGCGAGAAGGCACCACCGCCGCCCTTCTGTGTGTCCTACAAGCCTATATAGATGATGTCCGTCGTGTCTTGAAAAGACGGTCGGGGGCGGCGGAGACGCACCTCAATTTCCATGACCCTTGTTCGGGAACAGACCGGGGTTTGAGGAGGAGGTATACGTTCTTTGTTGTGATAGTGCTTGGACGGCGAAAAGATAGGGCCGCCCATTGCCACGCTCCGACGTTGTTTGGAGTCTCTCTCTCTCTGCTTGTGTAAGTTGGCGGTGGTTTTGTCTATGGGCTCCGAATAAGGAGGTGGATGGTGCACGACAAGCGTAAATTCGTTTGGTAAACTCTTGTCTCCTGCTTGAAGCCTACTGGGGTTTCGCGTAGGGGAACAAGTTGAACCGATTCGGAAATTCAGCCTTTCAGTCCGTGGTACAGACCATGCGGGCAAGAATGCTAGCCTTGTGCCGAGCGAAGCCAGCCGTCATTTTTGAGGCACGCCAACCCCACCATGGTATTGGTCGTAGCAGTGTCGGCTACTACATTAGTGTGGATTAGACAAGCCGACCCCCCTTGTCTTTGGTTTCGCCTGTTCGAATCGCCCCCGTGAGTTTCTTCTTGAACCTCTCCTCCAACTGCTGCGGTTTTTCGCGGCGTGGCAGAGGGAGAATCCGTGGTGTACATGCGCAACGGAGAGGCCCATCCGGCGATTGTGATGAAGGTGGGGAGAACAATCCTGATGATTGGTAAAGGGGGTGTTGGATGCTCTGTGCCACATCGGTGAGAGAGCAAGCGCAATGCGCGCGACGACTACAGTAGGTTGCGTAAGATATCACATCCCCTGGACCGATTTTCAAAGCTCGACTTCTCCACGACGAAGAGGATGCCGTGCCGAAACTGAAGTGTACGTTTTCGGAGAGCTCTCGACGAGACGGGTCCAACGCCTGACGCCATTTTCGTCACTGTCACTGATTTTCCTGCCGGGGTAGGGGTATCGAGTTTCGGAAATCGGTCCAGGGGGTGTGCTATCTTACGCAACCTACAGTACTGCTGTAGGAGGGCTCTGCGTCGCTAAAAACAAGCCTATGCGAGGGTCTCATTGCCGTGCGTGCCTATCCCCTATCCCCTAGCCGCTGGTATTAGGGGGTGTAGGAGGAGTGCCGCGTGACGTCATGTCCCAGGTGCACAGAGTGAGTGATTGCCCTACGGTCCTTACTTGAGGCAAAATACCCCAACGTACAAAGGCGCCTCCAAGGATATCGCCCTGCAGGGCACCGCACACAAGATCGGTAGTATTGTAGCTCTGACGGGCGGAAAACCGCAGCAGCATGATTTTTTGAGTGGAGCGAGAAAACCAGGAGATACGAATCCGAAAGGTCTGCTTTTCTTGCTGTTTGTGCTGTTGACTCTTGCCCCCCCTTCCTAAGACACAATGCGGGTCATGCTTATCACGGCAGGCCCGTTGCGAGCCGGTGAATGTCAACGATGTCTGCATGAAGGGTAGGAACTAACGATGCCCCGCCTAAGAAGGAAGGTTGGTGCGTAGACAAATGTCCTACGACTAGGCAGGGTAACGGCGTCCTGAGACTCTTCCCCCGGATGCTGACCAGCTTTCCGGTCCATCCTTGGCCTGGGCCGGCGAAAACCCCAGCATAACGCTTCGTCCCGGCGTTGAAGGGATTCGGGGTCAATGCTCTACCAACTACAGCATGCGTTTACATGAGTGCCCCCCCCCCCCTCCCCCCCCTGACGCAGGTCCACCAGGACGACGAAGAGCCATACTACACCGTGCGGGTCCACGAGACGGGAAGGGAGAGGCAAACGGACGCTAACCACCTCGTGCGGAGCCTGCCAATGGAGACGCCTCCGGGGGTGGGAGGATCCTCTCCCGACGGGTCATCGCCGCCGCCGCCACCGCCGCCGCCGTGTCGTCCGGACGGCGATGGACCACGAGAAGGTCAGCTGCTCAACAGCTGCAGCAGCAGTCGTGCGGGTGGCCGTACCGTGTTGAAGGCGTTTTTCTCCCGCGCCGTTGGCGTGTGGCTTTCGCGGTCGATCGTTCGCTTCTTCTGTCGCAGGATGTATGCATGTGCAACTGCAATTTTCAGCGCTTGTTGTGGCGTGTTGCGTGAGCGTCGTGCAGGGCAAGCGCGTTCTGCCTGCGCTCCCTTGTTCCCAGCCACGCCGGGGCTTGTGGTCACAGCATGAAAAGGACTGGCTTCCGGTGTAGACTGCTGTCGCTGCTTTTGCTGCTGCCGGCTTCGTTGTCTTTGTTGTTCCTGCCGTCGTTGTTTGGTCGTTGTTGTTGTTGTTGTTGTGTCAATTCTCCATCGGGGCCTGAGGTTAGCGCCTACTGGTATAGTACTTGGCTGATACCCATCCGATGCCCAAGAGGTTGACTTGTGGTAGCTCTGCTCTGACACGAAAGACTCGCGAGCGTCTCACACATCACAACACTCACCGACAGAGCGCACCCAAGTCCGTGTGCGTTCACGTGATGAAGGGGACTTGTTTTTCTCAAAAAGCTGATCACGACCACCTTTATATTGTGGTTGCTGTTGAAGCGTAGGATGCCTTGTACAACAGATTCGAGAGCAACCGATCTGTCGTTGAATGACAAGAGGGCTGCGCAGCAGCGGCGCTCGACAAGTAAACGGCAGCATGTGAAAATAACAAAAAAGAGCCTCTCCCACAAGGAAGGAGCCTAACCCTCTGCGGCTTCCCCACTTGCGTCTCCGGCCTCCAGGGGGTACGACGGACAGGAGCACTAGCGGCATGAGAGTGACCAGCAGGATAAGCCTTAAAGAGGAGGTGGGAGGAGGAGGAGCAGGAGGAGCAGGAGGAGGAGGGGTGGGTGCTGTTGACCCCTGGGAAGCCGCGCGCGCGAGACTTGTCAATCTGGCCGCGGACCTCGGCGACCCCGCCGCCGCTGGGGCGGCGGCAGAGCCGCGAGATAGCGCTCTGCCCTCAATGGCACAGAAGTTAGGGACCGCGTTTGCCGAGATGCCCGCCGCGGAAGTTCGGGTCATCCTCGAACGAAGCGTTGCGGGGTGCGGGAAGGCTGGGGGCGGTGGCTGGGAACCCGCTTCAGGCAGTGATGGGTTGTCGGAAAGAGGGGTGGGGGGGGGTGACGCGGGCGTGAGTAACGGGGAGGGGGTCGCGATGGCCGTCGCCGACGCCTGCCGAGACATCGTGCTTACGTGCTTGGCAGGGGTGGGGGGCCCGGGGAGAGAGAGTTGAAGAGGTCCGTGGGGGGCGGGGGAATGTTTTCGGTGCCCGAACGCGTTAATTTCGGAAGGTGTTTTTCTTGGGTGTCCCCTCGTGTACATTGGTGTATGTGTATGCTGGGTTTCGCAATTGTGGGGGCGGGATGCTGGGGACGCTTTGTCTTGGTTGCCGGTCAGATCTGATCGGATGATGTCCCCTTCAAGTGTTGTCTTGCTGCTGGTGTAGTGCTACCGCCTTATGTGTTTATTAACCGGGTAGATGCCGTAGTTGATTATGACTGTGGCGGTGAAACATGAAGGAGAACCTTCACCAACATAGAATTATTCCCTTTGTTTTTCTTCGCCTCGGGTGAGTGTCGTTAGTATCCGCGCGTGATGCGCTCGCCTTCCGGGGGGGGGGAGTACTCTCCTGTCACAAGCTACAACGGGACTTTTATAGTCGTGCTGCTGTTGGGGGGGGACAATTGGCACTTCAGGCAAACGCACATATACCAAGCCAATACACGCGCACAGATACGTTTTATTTTTTTTTATTCGTTCGCCTACAGGAAGTCACTACGGGCACTTTCTGTGCGTACAGCAGTCAGTATGCTCCAAACGCAAACAACTTGTCCGCCACAACACATTGAATATTTTGGAAGATGCGCACGTGGTCTGGACTATTTGCCAACTTGCTTGCCCGGGCAAATGATAAGATCAAAAGATCCATCTGGGTTTGTATATATATATTTTTGGTTGCCTCTTCGCGAGATTCCACGGCTCGGTACATGGTACCTACCCTGCTACATCTGATCTCGCATGCAAGCTCACACATCGATCGCGTTGAGGAAAATGAGCATAACCGCATCAATCCTTCGGAACTATGTAACCATTATATTTCCTCCGTGTCTCCCAGAATAAAAAAGAAGCGCGTCCATGTATCTTGGCATTCCGCCCGTTGTATGCATCGGTGCGAAGAAGGAACGCAGTGTGCAGTTTTAGTTTTTAGAAGGTAAACTATAACATAGCCTCACAGGAAGACTACCCGTTCGAGATATAACCTCAGTCGAAAGGGATGTGGTGAAGTCTTTTCAGTAAGTGGATTGAAACCAACTGGAGACTTGGCTTACTTTGAGTTTGCGTAAGGCTAACACTGAGTTATTACGCAGAGGTGTACCGATTCAGGTAAAAGTCAATCCACGGATACCCTGCGAATCGGGTCCTCCTTAACACTCTCCTCCACCCACAGAATTGACCCTCAACTGAGAACCTCTTGTGGCCAGGATGGGTATTTCGATGGAAGTGTCACACGGTTCTTTATGGGATCCACTCCAAGAGGTGTCACCAGGACTGAGACACATTGTGTCCAGGGGAAAATGTCCAAGTCAGGAGACAAAGTGTGCACCCAACCAATGACATTCAAACCAGTATCCAGCTGACGCCATTGTTGTTGTTGTTGCTGTTGTTTCTCACATTAGCTCTATAGTCCACAAAAAATGGAGAGTCCGTTGTCTCTAAACCCGGCACATGGGACGCCGCGGGGAAACAAAACAAAAATAGGGTACACACACTCGGAAAAAGAAAACAAAATGATAAAAAGAAAAGAACAGGTATTGCACCGACCGTTCGAGAGAAGAGCCCTCGGAAACCGATCAAAATTAAACAAAACAAGAGTAAAGGAGGACACTTCCTGTTGGGATTTGTATGCAAGAACTGACTCTATTCTACTGCATGGGTTTTGTGCAGTATTGTGAAGGCGTGTCTCCAAGTCAGTAACCGTCAGGTGAAGACAGCTTGGGCGCCTGTGTTTTGGATCTAATGATCACTCTGTGTTGTATCTACCCAAACTGCGCCACCACTGCCAACTACACAACAAACAGCAACTACAATTCTGTTGTCAGGTCATGAGCCTAGCGTTTGGTAGGTAATTCACATCGAGTCACACCCCAGCAGCAGCATGGCGTCCGCCACGAACTACCTGAAACAAGGATACGTCCCGTTTAGCGGGAAGCCGGAAGATTTCCACGGCTGGAGTGGCCTGTTCTACTCCATCATGGATGAGCAAGGATTAGGCGACATCATGGCTGGGACGGAGACCGCCCCGGCATCGGCGGCCAGCAGCGCGGATTCGGATCGTGCTGCGTTCGACAGGACGACGCTGGAATTCAAAAGTAAGAACGGCAAACTGTAGACTACACACGGTCAAACTTTGCTACGTCCGACTGCGCCGATGGATTCTCGAGCACTGCTTCCCAAGTCGTTCGAGCCTTCGGCCCCGCTCGCGTTGGTGAGCATGGGGACGGACGTGCGGCATACGTTGCCCTAGAAGCGAAGTACCGCCAGAAGGGCACCTATCGGATGCATGAACTGCAGCGAGAGTTAGGATCACTTGCGGTCACTGCCGAGGACGATTACGACCCGGCGCGTGCAATCCAAGACTTGCGTCGTATCAGTTCCGAACTCGAGTCACTTGGAGACAAGGTCGTACCAGCCCGCCAGACGCATATCTTGTTGAACGCGCTTCCTGACCAGCACTACGCCCAACTTAAGGCCGCGCTGGTGTGCGGACAAGCCGATGGCTCGGAGTTGGATCTTGACTTCGAAAATGTCGCGCACCGAGCGACCGCGTACCATACACTGCAGATCAGGGGGAAGGTTTCTGCCCACGGCCGTGCCCACAACACGGTCGTGCACGGGGGTGCACGTAGTTTCCGTAAGCAAGGCGGACGTGGCGGACGCGGCGGACGCAACCGCCAAGGCAATGGCAGCCAACCGACCGGAGACAACGGCAGCAGCGGCTCCTCCGCCGGAAATTCCAGAGGCGATAGCCCTGGAGGCGCGCAAGATGTGCGCGGGCGAGGCCGCGGCAACAAGTCCAATAAAGGCGGAAACAAAAGTCACCAAAAGGGCCGAGACCGTCAGGGACGCTGCAAGTACTGCCACAACTCTACAGAGCACGGATGGGACGGCTGCCCCCTTCGCCTGGAGAACGTGCGAGAGGATAACGCCCAACAGGCGAATGCCGCCGCGCCGGAACCGTCCACGCAGGCATGGTTCACCCGAGTCGAGGAATCCAGCGGTGAGCCGGAGGACTTTTCCATCTCGTTTGGAGAACCGCAGGCACTGGAGATGCCTGCCGCGGCGCTGCCGGAGAAGCGCGCCGCCGTGGGCGTGCAGGAAGGTCTTGTCATCTACGATCCGCAGGCACTGGAAATGCCTGCCGCGGCGCTGCCGGAGGAGCGCGCTGCTGCTGAGGAGGAGGTGCCGGAGGCGCCTGTTGCGGCGCTGCCAGAGGAGTGCGCTGCTGATGATGCGCAGGTGCTGGATGCGCCTGCTGTGGCGCTGCCCGATGAGCGCGCTGCTGCTGAGAAGCAGGTGGCGGAGGCGCCTGCCGCGGCGCTGCCAGAGGAGCGCGCTGCCGACGATGAGCAAGTGCTGGATACCCCTGCTGTGCCGCTGCCCGAGGAGCGTGCTGCTGATGCTGCTAGTGACGTTCAGGTGCAGAACCCGCTTGCTGATGCAACAGATATAGTTGCCTACACCAGTGTGTACCAGGTTAAGGACGAGTCCGCCAGGAGCACCATTATGTTCGTAGACACAGCAGCGTCTAGCCACATGGTTAGCGCGGATTCCTACGCATCTCGCCACGTGACCGAGAAGTCGGACTGCAACGTGAGGATCAAAGGTTCGTGTGGAACGTCGAGCGCGGCTCAGAAAGGTATCCTGCGTTTCGGCATCTCAAACGACCGGAACCAACTCGTCCCGGTGGAGCTACAAGTACTACTGGTTGACAACCTAGGAGCGAACATCCTCTCGGTCGGAGCCCTGAAGGAAAGGGGGGTGATGTGCGATCTTCTGTCTACTCCTCCAGCACTCCGTAGCAGCGATCAGGCCTTCCCCATCTCCACGGAGATTTCGCGGATGTACAGCGTGAACATTGTCCTCGACGACATGAGGATGGACGGGACCGCGATGCTGCTCAAGACGAAGGTGAATGCACACATGTGGCACCGGAGGATGGGCCACTGTAATCCGCGCGCCCTCCAGCAGCTGGCGAGGAAGGAGCATTCTGGGGTTAAATTTGACCAAAACATCGAGTCTGGCGACTGCGAGGTATGTGCTGTCGGCAACAGCAAGAAGTCTAGTCACCCACCGGCTAACCGACCTCGCGCCGGCACTCGTCTTGCGCTCTTGCACGTAGACACCTGGTCGCACTCCGTAAAATCTCTCGGTGGACACAAGGGTGCGGTGATGTTCACGTGTGACAATACCCGCATGAGGTTTGGTTTTCCCATCAAGAGCAAAGATGCAGCTGCTGAGGCGCTGGAAACTGTTGTCAAGGAGGAAGCCGACCCGGAAGGACTGTGTATCACCACGCTACACTGCGACGGAGGGGGCGAGTTCAAGGGAAGGTTCGCGGCGCTGGCAGCATCACTTGGAATCAAAATCGAGACCAACGCCCCGTACATGCCTCAAGGCAACGCCGTCGCCGAGCGTGGCTTTGGCACGGTCGCAGCCATAACGCGGCGCCTTCTTCTTGGGGCACCTCATCTACCGGAGAGTCTGTGGGCCGAAGCGTTCCAATACGCGATCTATATACTGAATCGCACGCCTACGGACGTCTTGGGCGGCAAGGCACCACTTGAGGTATGGGAGAACAAACCGCTTGGCAGCTTGCACCACATCCGCGAATTCGGTTCGGTATGCTTTAAGCACGTGGAAGCGGGGGACAGGCCCAACAAACTGGCTGCCAGGGCTGAGAAGATGTTTCTGGTCGGTGTCAACCCTAAAAGCCGGTCGTGGAGGCTATGGTCCCCTCGTGACAAGTTTAAGATCACCAACTCCGCCGAAGTTTCTATTCGCGAGAAAGCCCCGCGCGACGTGGTTCCCCCCAAGGCAGGGCATGATCCGCTGCCAGAGACTCCAATGATTTACCATCCCGGTCCGGAAGAGTCTGATGACGACGTCGACAGTGTGGTGGAGCCACAAGACGAGCAGAAGGATAACGAGCCGGAGCCCACGCCTCAGGCGCAAGAGCCGGGCCCCCGTCGCAGCACCAGGAACCCCAAGCCGACTGAACGTCTGAACCTGTTTACCTTTGCCACGGAGGAGGAGGCCTTCGAGCAAGTGGAACGCTCCCTGCTCACCGGAAGCTCGCTTGGCAACAACGGGACTGGCAACCCTGGCGAAGTGGGCTACAGGGCTCCCGACCCTTCGAGCTACGACGAAGCGATCCGTGGGCAGGATGCTCTAGACTGGCAAGAGTCCATGCGGAACGAAAACCAGTCGCTTGTCGACCTTGATGTGTACGACTGGGTCGAGCCGCCGACGAGTGCCCAGGACCAGCCGATCCCGTCAAGGTACCTTTATAAGCGGAAGTACAAGAATGGCGAGCTTGCTCGACTGAAGAGCCGCGTTGTGGTCCAAGGCTTTCACCAAGCAGACACGGGCGAGGATAAAGCGGCGCCTGTGGCGTCCATGGAATCCGTCCACCTGCTGATTGCTATCGCAGCCAAGAATGGTTTTGGCCTGAAGCAAGCCGATATCAAGACGGCATTCCTCCACGCGCGGGTTCCTGCAAATGCGAAACCGATCTACGTCATCCCTCCGAAAGGGTTCGAGTGCTCTCCGGAACAACAGGGAAAAGTGTGGCGACTCAAGGCGTGGCTCTACGGGCTGCGCCTCTCTCCGAAGGGCTGGAACGGCACCTTCCACGACTTCCTGCTGGAGATCGGGTTCGTTCAGAGTACGGCGGACCCCTGTCTCTACATCCTTAACGCGGGAGGGGTCCTCCTTCTCGTGTACGTCGACGACATTCTTTTGTCGGGAAGCGACGAAGCGCAGGTGATGCGGGTCGTCGAGCAGCTGAAGGAGCGGTTCGACACAGTGTTCCTGGGAGATGCACAGTTCCTGCTCGGTATGGCACTTGAGAGGAACGTCGACGCCGGAACGATCTTCCTGTCGCAGGAGATGTACGCGAAGGCCGTACTTGACAAGACCAAATGTCTTAAAAGGGTTGGACGGTACATGGAATTCGCTGCCCAGAAAACTCTGGCAGTTAGTGATGAGTATTCAATTTGAATTGTTCGAGAGCATGCATTCATGTTGATAGCATTTGTCGAGAGGACACTGGTATTTGTTTCGAGAGGACACTGAGAGAAAGAATTTTGTGTCTTATGTATCAGAGCTAGTCATGACGTAGTTCTTGAGAGGACATGTTGGGATTTGTATGCAAGAACTGACTCTATTCTACTGCATGGGTTTTGTGCAGTATTGTGAAGGCGTGTCTCCAAGTCTGTAACCGTCAGGTGAAGACAGCTTGGGCGCCTGTGTTTTGGATCTAATGATCACTCTGTGTTGTATCTACCCAAACTGCGCCACCACTGCCAACTACACAACAAACAGCAACTACAATTCTGTTGTCACGGGGGACCTCCGCCGAAGGACAAAAGGTGAGCTCCTTTGAGCCTAATCTTCATTGACGTACTTTGCGGATGGTTAGGGAGAAGTGACCCGCCATGATGTCGACAGACACAACTCGGGGCAAGGGAGACGCTGACTGCTGTCGTTTTCATCGCACTCACCTTTGTACTCTGGCACTTTCCCAGTCTCCAAGAACACCTTGAAAATGCCTAGGAGTCTTTCATGTATGTTCTGGCGCGTGGTGTTGTCTGCGACATAGCGGTCGCCGTAAAACAAATCCCGGAACCTCACAGCAAGCTGCTCTTGACAGCTGAGTCCCGTCGCGTAGTTGACCAGCGGGCTTGGAACGGGAACTCCAGCCTCTTCCAAACTTCTCTCGAACTCCTCCCCTTACCGAAATCAGACCATATGTCTTAAAAGGGTTGGACGGTACATGGAATTCGCTGCCCAGAAAACTCTGGCAGTTAGTGATGAGTATTCAATTTGAATTGTTCGAGAGCATGCATTCATGTTGATAGCATTTGTCGAGAGGACACTGGTATTTGTTTCGAGAGGACACTGGTATTTGTTTCGAGAGGACACTGAGATNGATGCCATTTTGTTGTGGTGTAGCCGGTGCCGTAAATTCTTGAACAATTCCGATGGTTTTGCAGAAGTCCCTGTAGTACTCTGATGTGTATTCACCTCCATTATCGCTGCGGAGTCGCTCCAGCCGAAAACCATTCGGTATGACGATGTCTTGGATAAATCTATCCAGTGTGTTGATAGCCTCGTCTTTGGACCGTATCAAATACACAATATTCATCCTTGAATATTCGTCCGTGAATTTGCTCACATAGTTGTATCCGCCCCTTGCAGGTGGCGACATTGGCCCCAGTAGATCCGTATAAACCCGCTGACACGGCTGAACAGCAGTATGCTGTGCCGTCTANACCACTGCCAACTACACAACAAACAGCAACTACAATTCTGTTGTCATTCACCTCCATTATCGCTGCGGAGTCGCTCCAACCGAAACCCATTCGGCATGAAGATGTCTTGAATAAATCTATCCAGTGTGTTGATAGTCTCGTCTTTGGACCGTACGTATCAAATACACAATATTCATCCTTGAGTATTCGTCCGTGAATTTTCTAACATAGTTGTATCCGCCCTTTGCAGGTGGCGAAATTGGCCCCAGTAGATCCGTATAAACCCGCTGACACGGCTGAACAGCAGTATGCTGTGCCGTCTAGGGATGTTTCTTCTGCGTGCTCTTCTGAATTTTGCACGTCTCGCACGGTTCCATTTCGTCCTCAAGCTTTACTCCAGTTTCTCCGATACGCGCAGCTGCCTCGATGATGTTCTTGTGGCAATGTCCCAAACGCCGGTGCCAAAGGTTGTAGGGCTCCGCGCGTGCAGCAGCCACACATGCTTTATCGTAAGTATTTTTGGCCTCCTCGTTGATCGGGGTCTGTTGTCGCGATGACTCGTGTCAAGTCGCACATCCAGAAAATATAACGTCCCTACTTCTCGACACTAGGGCGATTCGTGATCCATCTCCTGAAGTGGGCGGTAATTCGATTCGCGGCTGATCCGACCTGATCGTGTTCGCACCATTTTTCTGTGCTGATCCGGTAAAAAACAGGTGCCTTCCTAATCCTGGAACCACTGTGCACTTGAACCGCATTCTCCTGTCGTTTCCATCTTCATCCTTGGCGAATACGCTGATGATGCCCGTGCTGGTCCCTTCAAGCTCAACTCCTCCAGCACCAATAATCTTCATGGGTGTAAAGATGTACTCGAAGTCTTCCAATATGTAGTCCAGATCAGGTAGCAAATCGCCGTCCAGGTAATGGCCCGATGCTCCGCTATCCACCAGTAAATTAAATTTTCCAAGTTTCCTTCATGATAATCCTTATGNGGTCTGTTGTCGCGATGACTCGTGTCAAGTCGCACATCCAGAAAATATAACGTCCCTACTTCTCGACACTAGGGCGATTCGTGATCCATCTCCTGAAGTGGGCGGTAATTCGATTCGCGGCTGATCCGACCTGATCGTGTTCGCACCATTTTTCTGTGCTGATCCGGTAAAAAACAGGTGCCTTCCTAATCCTGGAACCACTGTGCACTTGAACCGCACTCTCCTGTCGTTTCCATCTTCATCCTTGGCGAATACGCTGATGATGCCCGTGCTGGTCCCTTCAAGCTCAACTCCTCCAGCACCAATAATCTTCATGGGTGTAAAGATGTACTCGAAGTCTTCCAATATGTAGTCCAGATCAGGTAGCAAATCGCCGTCCAGGTAATGGCCCGATGCTCCGCTATCCACCAGTAAATTAAATTTTCCAAGTTTCCTTCATGATAATCCTTATGAGCAGCTTGTTGTGCTAGCATCTCCATGCGAGAAACGCATGGGTATCCAAGGTTCCCATTGTAACCTTCAACCACTGTCTCTTCAGTAGGTTGTGACGTAGTTCGGACACTTCTGTTGGGCATAGACCCCCTCGTGACCTCTTGAGCGGTGGTAGCTCTGCTGACAGTCCGATGGTCATTGTTGTACAGTCTTGGATTGAAGGTGTAAGTAGCGCCCCTGTCTTGGACATGCTGACGAACATTGTTTGCCCGTCTTGTTCCTTGTGATCCATCTATAATCGGTCCGCCGCGTCCCGTCTCTGTAGTTCGTGTCCCTTGACTCTCTTGTTGTTGAGCACGACATTCCGAATCGTCGTGTAGATGAGTGTTGTGTAACGAACACCATTTTCGCTGCCGTTATTGTCTCTGACGGTGATCTTGTGGCGTAAAACGGTTTCTGTCTTGCCGTGCAGGTCGCAACACCTCGTGATCTCGCTACAATTCATTCTCATGTCATCAACGAGCTCCTCGCTATAACTCGTCGCTACATGTTACGTTCTACCAAACGTCACGCATTATACCGCAGTCTACGTACCATTGCGTACAGCAATCATACAGCTGCATCTATGCTACTACACAGATCATACAGCAGTAATGCGCTGTATTTCAACAATGTGTGATGGAGTCTTCATCTCTCTTCCTTCCTACAGAGTCTTGATTGATGAGCCAGATGTACCTGAAAATGTACCGCCTCTGGCGGCCACCAGCAACATTCCGCGCAACTCAATATAATGAACTGCTGTCTGTGACTGGGTTCGCAAAGCCTTCTATGCCCACGAACATCTGTTCTGTCACTCGTTCTATCCCGGACGAAGCACCAGGTGACCCGTCCGTTCTAGTACTATGCTGTGGTTTAAGTATGCCGTATGCGGTTGACACGAAGCGAATCCAGAGGTGTTCGTATGCACTCGGCATTGGGCGCCATCATGGAAGCTCTCAGTCGAAACTGGCCCCCGTCCGATAGGAAAGCGGCAGTGACAATGACGGTCATACAGCAGCATAACTATGTAGAGGGAATGAATGCCTGTTGTTTACGGCTGGACCGTAGACGCTTCAAACGACAAGCTCGCTGGTGAGCGCTTGAAAATGCTGCTGCCGGTACATGCATGTAGAGTTGTTCCGGACCATGTTCGTTCGTGTTTACTTCCTTTTCTCGGTCAAAGTGCGAAAGCTGTTGAAGCGAATTCCTCTCGTTGAAAAAGTAGCAGGCTGTCGGCTTCAAAAGATGATGTTGCAAGTCCACAAACCAAGAGAGAGGAAGATCAGCTGTGAATACAAACATTTGTGTTGGTTCGGTGTGATGGCACAAGTATTCTGACCTTTATGGACAGTTGGAGTTGTCCTCGAGCCACCAGGACTCCTTTCCCCCAAGGGGCTGGTGATGTTTGTTTCTTCACTTGTATTCCGTGGGCGAGGCACTCTTGCGACCAATGCCGCCGTGTCGTGGAGCACGACGGGGAGGACGTCGTGATACAGGCAGCTGCGCTGGACGGCATCCGCAACACGAGGGGCTTCAAATGCGCTACGTTTGGTTGTCCCTTGGACCTTATCAACTCGCGCGGGGAAAGGTAAGGAAAGCTAATGACAACCTCCACAATTCAACAGCCACAAGGACTAGGTCCGAATGACCACATGACGCGAACTCTCCGCTGTCCCCGCTTTGTCACAAAGGAGAATTAATTGGGGATCCACACAGGTAGACGTCAGTCGCCATTTTGTCCGCGAGCACCAGGGGAAACCTTCGCGACCTCACCCTAATCCTTCTACACCGCAATCACTAACCGGAATGCCTCAGGTATTGCGCTGTTCATGAAGGCATGTATGGACACCTTTGTGCCGTAACAGCGCCAGAGTGCGGACAACCCCATCGACCAGGCAAGCTCACGTGCGCTGCTCACGCGAGCTTGGAATAGCGTTGGAGATACTACGAGGCACAAGGCAGCTACCGCCGCAAACAGCGGATGAGGTTGAATGGCGAGGACTACCAGGTGATGTCTGCTACCTTTCGTGGGTCGATACTGTCTGCACCACGCTCTGGGCCGTGATGTGTTGGGTTTGCCTAGCTTACTTGCGACTCGCTCGCACATTGGGCATCATCGAGCCCTGTGTGATCCTCGTGCGTTTGGCATCATCGAAACCTGTGTGATCCGCGGCCCTTCTTGCCATGTTCGTGGCTCCCCTGTTGCTGTGGGGTTGGGAGGTCAGCCCGACGACATCAAGCAGCTGCGCATGTTCTTCTCGAGGCATCAATCATGGGGTACGCT